GTAACCCCCATGCCACGGGGGTCGATTCTTTCACAAGAACGCTGAGTCAGACTCAACAAAATTCATTCCCGGGACGCTCCAGTCGCGTTCCTAGCTTATAATAGGAGATCAAGCAGGGTCAATAATAATGCAACGAGGAAATCTGCTGGGATTTCGGCAGCCCAAGGCTAATTTGCACAGATTAAATAAATGGTAAAATTGATTTAATCTGTTTGGTGCTTCGACTGCCGCAGCGACGGGCTTACATATTCTCGTTTGAACTAACGCCAATGTCTTCCTAGATGCTGTGATGCCACTTCATCAACTAATGAAATGGTATCGCAGCATTTGCGAAGATATTTGTGCCGTTCCAACGATGCTGAAAAGAGTGCCCTGTTTCAATTTGAGGGCGTGCGTTGTGTATGGGAAATTTTCGTCTCGGGGGAATGAAGTGGGGCCGGTGATCAGAAGCACCGGCAGAGCCTGACTCGCGCCACGTTGCGCAGCCCCAATTGGTCAGTTTCCGTGCCATTTCCACTTCCCAATTAGTCAACGGGCACATGCGATTGGTTATTCATGGCTTGGCAACACCAGACAATAGGATATTCGCACTGCAACAAGTTATAGATTGCCTAATTGTTTTGCTGGAGGGCGATGCAACAGCCGAATTGACGAGGATGATTGCACGTGCAGATATGCAATACATGCCATTTTCACCCACATTGCTACTACTTTAAAGTGCCCTCTTTGATTGAGCAAAAGGCTCCCTACTGCCGGCAAGTACGTCCGCTGGCGGGCCGAAAGATGTGCAAGATTCGTGCTGCCAAGCGTGTTGTCGGATTTTCAGGTGCCCCCTTCGTGAGCCAGGAGCACGCCCTGCACTCCAACTACGCTGTGCACTCCCCTGGACCCATCTACGACGTCAAACACGTCTTGGCACACGTCGGTGCGCGTAATATCCACAGGACCTGGAATTACATATCATACATAGCTGAATATTATAAAATATAGCTATCTGTAGCTATGGAATGGTGACCCAGCGGTAGCTGATGCATCGCCACAGAATGCGTCATCGTGGATTGGCATCGCCCAATCACCCTAAAATTGGCGAAGGGAGGACCTTCATGCTTGAGAACACAGTGAATATCATAAAATGAACAGATGCAAATGCAAGCAAGTATAATCAACAGTGAGGGAGGCAAGTCAAAATGAAAGAATGCCGACCTCGACAGAATGCCATTTTACCGAATACCAGTCCATCGGTGCACGTGTTGGTGAGCATGTTCGGTCGGTGGTGTCGCTGTGGTGACCACAAAAGCAGAGGACAATTCAGTTTACATGTTTCATTGTCATGAAAATATGTATAATGACATGATATGCATAAAGCATGCATAATCCGCATAATGGCAGAGCGATGTACGCTGAATGCCTTGGAACGTAATCGCTGCAGGCTCGCCGGCGTTTCACATCTCCGGGCAGAAGGACCGCTTCTACAACCGATTCGAGCCACAGAGGATTGCGTGAAAATGGTCACCAGCGCCGCACGCGCCAAGGAGGCATTTGCACCCGCGTCGGCATCAGCACTGGCGACGCCAGCGCCGCAGCAACTTCCGCCGTCTGTGGCACGCCGCGACAGTCCCCGGCCACCGGATGGGGCGCCCACGAGCGCCCTTTGGGCGAATCCTTTGAGCGTCCTTTCAGGGGAACCATTTGATGAATTTCTGGATGATTTTACACCCGTTGCTGCACTCCGTAATGCTTTAATCCTGGCAGTGAACACCAGGTTCTGATTTTTTCAGACCGAAAATTGCTCCGACGGCTTGCACCATGCCGATGGCCGTGGACAGGGGCAGTGCTCTGGCCAGGAGGACGAGATGCTTGAGGTGTTAGACCAACACAATTGCACAAAGAAGCGGAAACAGAATTCAATAAACGCGTCAAGAAATGCACCTGTTCTTGATGCGTGAGGCGAAATTACGTATTCATGAACCGAGATAGTTCTTACTTCATTCATTACTCTATTCGTTCAAGAAACCACCGCCGATGTATTATAAGGTCAACACCAACGGTACCAGCACCTTGCGTCGGTGAAGCACGAGTGCCCAAAGCCCGCTAGTTTCTGGTACGAGTCGCGATGGTCCATGACAAAACATCGGTTAGTATTGCATCCAAAGTACTGTCTATTTCATGGGAACTCAAATCGATTTTGCTTGCAGGTGGAACGCAAGCTCTGAAAATTGTTGATGATGATTACAACACCATGATCAGGCTTGCTGCCTTTGTGCGCAAAATTTTATTCCCCTTCACAGGTATTTTTCAATTCCAATGTATTACAACATGTAATACATTGGAATTAAAAAATACCCGCGCAGAACGTAAAGCACAATGGGGTCCTTTTCCAGCACACCTGTGACTGCGCAGTCACAGGTATTATTGCCCATGCAAATGTGGACAGATGTGCGCAACCAGGTGCCGTCTGTGCACAGCTATGTAGACAGCGCCCGGGTGCACCATAAAATGTACGCGAATATTTGTACACACGGCCGTTGGGTATTTTGCTTGTTTTGCCATACAAAGGTCTGAATGTGTTTGCCGTCCCGGTGTATCCCCCGCCAGTGGCCACTGGCGTCCCCCATGGGGGACACACGATCGGGCCAATGCCAGGTTTTGACCATGGCGGCGCTACCACGCTCACTGCTGGCAATGGAGCGATGCTCTTGGCATGGTATTCAACCGCCGTGTGGAGCAGCTCCACACCGCCCATTCCATGATGTGACGCCATCAGAAATCTGGAGAGCAATGCATGCATCACGCCGCACACCTGGATTTGAATGCAGGAAAAACTTGCAGAGACGCGGTTTTCCAAGCGTGTACCCTCTGCTGAGTCCGCCCATGTCCGATAAAAGCACAGACGTGTCTTGGCCATGGTACGTGCCAAGTTTCACCAGAGCACCGTGTCTGGTCAGTGTCGGCGAAGCACAGTTTTCATACGGTGTGACGTGGGTATACGGTGCTATACACAGCTCTGTTGAGAGCACCATGCAGTCACACGCGGTTACATGGGCAGCTGCACAAGCGGTTCTAGAATCGCGATCACAGATCTGTGATAATCCACAGTACTGCACAAGACTGCCAGGGGAAGCCAACCCGGTTGCAGCCTTTCACACCCAAACTACTGAAGATTTCCGTCCTTCCATGCACATTTCCCCCAGGACAGCACAGGCTTTCGATTGTCGCCTTCCTTGCCTCGAGTCCGCTGTTGGACGCGGTGGTGCTGGCGCCGGACTGGCCGAGCGCAGTTTGGTTTCCCAAGCTCCGGGCGATGGCATGGGAGGAGATCTTCGTTCCCCGCCAACCCGACCTCTTTCTCCCTGGGGATCCAAGCCGCCCGACCTCCCTTCCTCTGCCGCGATGGAATTTGTGAGCCTTCCATGTGGCTCTGCGGATGCGATTGGAGGGGGCGAGGCGCCTCCTTCGGGCGACGCTCTGAGTGAATTGGAAGCTCTGGCTTCCCCCGCCAGTGAGCCTCCATCGGACCCGTTCCCCTTGGACCCAGTCCAAGGACCATCCTCTCTATGGCACCGAGATCGACGGTCTGCTGGCCAACGATCGCAGCTGGTTGGCGCAGCAATTCCTCGCCTCCTACACGGAGGCCACTCGGCAGACAATGCAGGCGAAGTTTCTTCGATTCCAATCCTTTGTTGAGGTGCATACCTTGGCGCCACTGCCCGCCTGCCGCGCCACCATCTACTGCTACGTTCGGTTCCTCCGGGAGGAAGGCAAGATGGGCGTTTGTTCCTTCCCGCAATATCTTGCAGCCATTTCCATGGTGCACCACATGTTCAGGCACCTTGGTTTTTCAGCTTTTGACCCAATTACCCCTGTCCTCACCCGCGCCTGGTGCCGTGCCGTGCCAGGGCCCCTGCAACATCACCGACTAGTGCCAATCGAGGTGATGATTCGCATCCTCGATGTGGGCTTCACCATGGAGGACGGGGCTCTCCTTTGGGCAGCGAGCGCGGCATCCATCGACTACTTCTTTTTCAATCGGGCATAGTCTGGCCATTTCGATTCGGCAGAGGACATCCGGGTGGAGGACGGTATCATCTTATTTCGGGAGCGCAAGTCCAAGCTGCACAAGGATGCGGCCCCGCGATTGCGCTTCCTGTCCTATCCATCCCAAGGCGCCCTGCAAGTCGTCGATCTTCTTCACTGGACGGCTTTCCGCGACCGTGCCTGGGCGCAGATGGACCAAGCCCCCTGCCATTTCTATCGGCTCTCCAGCGAGGCATCCCCCGGCGCCAAGACGGTGGTCGCTTGGTTTTCGAGCTTGCTGACCCGCCACCCGACCATCGCCCAGGAACCTTATATGCACCACGGCGTCCGCAGCAGGGGTGCGTCCAGCTGCTTCGCTTTGGAGGTCGCTGAACGGTGCATTCGGGATTGGGGTGGGTGGAAGTCTGATGCTATGTGGTCGTACGTGGACGTTTTTCGTTTGCCCACGGAGTGGGACTTTCGTTTGTTCGGGTGGATGACTATCACCGCCCGCGACCTCCACGCCCAATTTGGGCACATTTTCTGCCCCTGAGGTGCCTCCCGTGCCCTGGAGAGTGAATGGGCAAATTGTTAAGTACCGGGACCTCGGGTATGTGGAGTTGTTGGTGATGGACACCGTTGTTGTAATGTCTTGTCGTGGGGGAAATATGACCGGGAGGGTTCAGGAGACCGGTCAGGTGGAAATAGCTAACATGGACGTTTACAACCCAACTCCTTGCACAACTGCTTCGTCCGCCGGCCCGAATCCCACCCATATTGCTTCCAGTACACAAGGGCGGCGCATTCTGTCATGTGTTCCCGAATCCAGTAAAAGGCAGTCAAGGCAGTAGGTCTCTAGCAACCAGGAAGGCATCTTGTCATGTGGTGACAAATGCAATGGACACAGTTTTTATCTCGCAACAAATCCCCACCCACCCCACCCACCGCGTGCTCCCCGCCCCCCACCCCGAAGAATAAATCAAACATTACTCCACCGACGTCGGAAACATCGACCCCACTGCTCGCCTCCGCGCCCTGGCCACATATTCCATCAGGCCTGGGATCTCGAGCTGCTGCCCCAGCTTCATTGCTGCTTCGTCGGGCAGCGGCCTGCGCATCCTGCAGTCAAACAGGGTGGTTGATCGTCATTTCTTCTTCTCAACTTTTGGAAATTTGTGCTGCTGAGCTGCTGCCTCGATGTCCACCATTGATTTGTCAATTTTCTAAACAAGACATTTTGCGCTGTTTGCCAGTCTTTATCACCACCATCACCATCACGAATTCTTGAATAGCAGTTTTACATTTTAGATTAGAATTCTTAACCTCAAGTTTCAACTGCTAAAGCTTACATCCCAAAATGTAAATTTTACACTGCCAGTCTTCAAAAACAGGGAACCTAAGTCGACCCTTCCACCCAGAAGTGCAAACAACTGACTGCCCAAACCTTTCTTGTGACGATGGGGGTGACAACTGGAGCCTTAATCACGATTTTATTGATTTGGAATTGAAAAAAAAAATCAATCCCCCTGTCAAAACTGACAAAGCCCTGCCTGCAAGCTGACTCTGTGCACTACAGAGCGACGAGCTGAATCGGCACTCACACTGGATGAATTTCGCAGCTGGACTGAGTTGAAATTCTGTACATTCTGTGGCAGATCAAAATCACGCCTTGTGTTGCAGCAGTCCGACTCGTCAAGTGTCACACTGCACTGATTGGGTGCACCCAGCCTGTCAGTACCTCATGGCCGGCTGCACAATCTCCTCGAGTGTTGCGCTGGCAACAAAACGTGGCACCCACTCCAGGGGCTTCTCCTGCCGATATGTGTTGGCCCTTTCAAGCAGGTCGAAGTACCTACAGGACAGCAGATAACCAAATCGATGTCCCCACTCACCCGCCTTCTAACAAACACCTCACCATGAGAGTATTTGTCCCCAAACAGCATTCCACTCAAAGACAATATACCAACAAAGGTTGTGGAGCTTTGTTTGCATCGCTATATACAGGTCTTTGTGCATTAAACTGAGCAACTGCACCTCACGCACGTGGTCCACGCATGCTTGAAACTGCGTTAAACTTTTGCCTTTGGTCGCTGGTAGGGCGGTCAAGGGTTCAGAATCTGGTGGAAACTGCTGCTGGTTTCAGCAATTGCTGCTTGTATGCAAACTCTGCGATTGCAATTACCGAAACATAATCAACACTGCTCTTGGACATGCAAGTCAACGACTGGGACAATCCCTTCCTCAGCTTTTGTTGAGAATGCCTGTTTGTATCGCCTCTGTCAGCAATTGCCACCAGGCTCAAATGGAATCCCATTCCCCCTCATGCCCTCACCCTTTATCATCTCTGAGCACTCTTGCTGCCCATGAGCCGTTGGGGAAGACATGCCCAGTCTTCTCCATATCCAGAAGCCTCAACCTCATGGCCTCGATCTGTTGCGCCCTGAGGTGGTCCAATCCCGAGCAAATGGCCTTACATCCCCCCCGTGCTTTGTAATGGGAGTACAATCTGTAGACTGCATAGTAGATGGGGAAATTGGGTGCCGGTGTTATCTGCCAGCACATGATTGGCTTTCAACAGTGAGGGAAACAATCAGCCCTTATTTGTGCACGTTTGCTGGAACATGACAACGTACTACCCGCCACCTGCTACACGTTGGCAAGCACGATTTCTTGCACAATGTTCTGACTGACCAGCACTGCTGTTGCTCAAGTCTGTGAGGGCAATACTCAACCAATCACACACTACTCCCATTGCCGGCCACTGATAAAGGAACGAGTCACGATTGGGTGGCTGGGCGTTAGGACTTAGGGCATGTCTATATGGTCTATAGGTCTGTAGGTCTCTGCCTCCATATTAGTTGTCGGTAGCGGGAACACTGTCACAAGTCAGGTACTGCATCATCAAGTCGTCGACAGTCCCCGTTCGACAGCAAGTCTTCATTTCAGCAACAGATGATGCTAACCATCAAGTTGGCAAGCAATTCCTGGGGAAGACTATTCCAGACAGTTCTCAGCACTGGCAAGATGGTGTGGAGGACATTGGGTATGACTGGAACACCACACACAAGTGGACTGTCCAATGGGGTGTGTGGAAGCCAAGGAGAACATGCAAGTGAAAGGGTCTTCATCATATGTGTTGATGCCATATCCAGCCCAATCCATACCAATATTGGTAGCAGAGGTGTCAGCAGCAGACCCCAGCCAATCTGTGGAGGGCAGCACAAACAAGCAAGAATGCATGTCAGCTATAGACAGGAAACCAAGAATCAAAGAACAGTGGCTGTGTCAACTCCACCAATGCCTTCATGGAGCAAGGGCATTGTTTTGCCTAATGAAGGCACATTACAAAAATGCATTTGCACATTAATTTGCTTGTTTGGAAAGACACAGAACTGCACGATCCTGTGAATCTTGGTACAGTGAACAAATGGTGCATGATGCTCTCTGCACCCGTTGTCACCTGCAATGTGCAAGAACTGTGTAATCCCTGGATGTCATGCTTGGCACTTCTGGACACAGGACTTGTCTGCCAATCACAATGCGGATCGACAGGTAGAAAGCAAACAAAGAAATCTGATGGAACGCCCAATCATCTTGCAAGTGTGCAGGCAACAATTCTTCTCAGGCAACAATATTGAAGAGAAGTTCATTCAACAAAATGGACCCAATCAGCTCTAGACACAAACTGTGGCAAACAAAAGTCAAATTGGGCATCCTATTCTAATACCAGTAACAAAGTGCCAGGTGCAGTTCGAAATACACAGTAATGGGGCTCGATGTGCCCATATGTTGAATGACTCTACAAGGGGGTGTTCAAAGTGGATGACTGAATTGCTCTGTTGACACCCGTGCGCTGATATGCCACAAATGTCTTCTAGAGAGTAACTGTTCTGCCTAGTTCGACACATACACATCTCAGCTTTGCAACTATAGTATGGAGAGCACACTTCTATAGATTTCTCACAGCTGAGGTATTGGCACAGAAGCACGTGTTGAGGAGTGAACAAACATTTGGATTGCACAAATGCACAAGTAGGAAATCTAAGTGGGAGCATGGCTGTTGCCTGAGAAGACCATGGCAATCAGTGGGGCTTCAACAAGGGTATGGCATTCAGTCCACCATCGCTGTGGACCAAGCTTTCTGATTTTTGACTGCCATTGCTCTGTTGACAGCTGTTGCCAAGGAGCCTACAGCAGGTGTTTGCTGTATCACTGTAGCCTCGATGTTCGTCAAACACAATGCAACAACTTAATGTAACCACGCCACTCTGCAAGTTTCCCAAAAGCAACAGCCCGACTAGATTTTCTGTAAGCCAACAGATTGCTGCGGCGCCAGCCTCCATTGCATCCTGTTTCACTCTGGCATAACCAGCCAAAGTTAAGGGCACCCATGTGCACATGCAACAAATGGTTTGGTCTAATGGCCATCGCTGCTTGGGAACCATGACATGACTGCTGTCAAGCAACGCCACCGCAGTTGTGGTAACTTTGACGCACCATTCCCCTCTGGTGGACATAAAGCCTCTCCCTTGCCATCAACATGAGGCGCCTCCTGACCAGGGCCTCGGGCACGCTGGCCTGCAACAAGGAACTGCATTAGCAGAGAGAGCACACAACTCAGTGGGAGAGCAGTCATCTTTGTCGCCGCTCCAATTAGAAAATACAGCAACACTGGGCGGTGTTGGCCGTTCTTTGCCTGTCACTATACCTGCAGGGGGTTGGCTGTCAAGCCCTTCTGATAACTGGATTCAACAGTAATACGAAGCATCTGCGCACAGCTTGGGTCGCTATATATCTGGCACATGCTCCTGAAATAGCCTCGCTGCCTGGATGACTTACAGATCAATACAGATCAATGTGTTGCTAGCAATTCAACACAAGCACTAGTGCTTCTGATAGACCCTGACGGAAAGACCGGCCTGAACAGGGGACGCGTCGGCTTGTCCAATACATCACTTATGTGGAAATGCCTACTGGGCAGGAGAGCACCATTGGCTGGCCATTCCCAACCATTTGCAATCTGGCAGTTGCAAATTGCAGTGTGGAGCGAATGTTGGCTGTGCAGATCAGCTTCCAGCGAGGCAACATAACTGTGCCATATTTTCAGCGGAGCTCAGGCACCAGCAAGATCCAAGCGCTCGAATTCTATCCATTATCAGGCTTGCCAATCTCCAGGCGTCCCCTCACCGGGTGCATTATTTCCATGTCCTTCACCACGGGCGGGATCGCCCGCAGGGCGCCCTCCTGCGGGTCCTCCCGCGACAGCACGGACTGAGCCAGCCTGCGGCACAGGCCAGGCCGACCCGTCAGGCCAATGGCATCTATACCTGGATCAGCCTTGGGCAAAGATTCTCACAGGGCGATGGCCAAAGGTCCGAATTCCCGAAATCCACTCGCGACGCCGCACACGTGCGCAGCCGGAGCCGATGGGGCAATGCGAAAGATTCACTTCGGCATGCCTTCGCGTGATTGAGCGCCCGCCCCGGGCAGCCGCCTGCCATCATGCGACGCGGGAATATTCCGCAGCGAGTGGCTGGCGCTTGGGCGCCGGCAAGCGGGCTCATCGCCCCGCCCTGGGCGCCACAACCGCATCGGCGGCCCAGAACTATCCGCGCACCACCACCCAATCAGCTCCGCTCGCGCTCACCTGTACATGCGGTTCATCATGGTGCCCTCGCGGGCCTTCTCGAGATCAGACCACATCTTCACCACGCGCTGCCTCAGCTGATGCACGCCCGAAGAAAGATGCGCACTTCAGGATGCGTCCGCCCACCGCCATTCAAAACCCGCGGCGCGTCGAGGCGCAGTTGGCGAGCGTCCCCCGCCCAGCTCGCATCAATCCGTTCGGCCACGAACGTGCCGATTCCCGCCGACACCAATATGGCCGCCCACAGCGCGGCCCCTCGCGTCCATGGTCACTCCCTCCGGGCTGCAATGCCCGCTCAAAGGCCTCACAGCGCAACGTGCGGGTCGCGCAACGGCCAGCAACGCAATCAGCAGCGTGCACGGCGCCCCATCCCCCCGTGCCCACCGTGCTGTGGATCCTGTCCGCTATGCGCTGCATCCTCTCCTCCAGGAACAACCCCGCTCCCCAGCCCCTGGGTATCTCCTTGGCCGCCAGCCCCGGTCGGGCGCCACCCTCCCCGCCGGTCGCCGACACGTAGAACAGCCAATGACGCCGGAAGATGGGAACCACCACCAACCGCACCTGGGCCATCACATCCACAGGATGCGCCCACCCTCCCCGCTTGCCGGCGCCCTGGGCGGTAACAATCGATGACGCTAGGCGCCAGGCGCCAAACGGGGCCGCCTAGCGCGAGCGGGGACCCGGGCGCGGGATTGCAATCCCTGCGCACAATTTGCGGATGGGCTTGGCGCCGATCGATTTGCCCAGCTGGCCGTGGAGATGAGGAGAGGGGGAGAAGGGTACAGCCGCCTGCGGTTGAGCAGGTCCGGCGGGGGTATGGTGGCAAGGAGGGGAGTGCGTCGGCGGCGCGTCGCCCGGCGCTGCGGCTGGGCTGCGCGTGTGGGTGTGGTGGGGAGGGTAGGGGGATGCGTGGGACGGGAAAGGTGCCAGAAACGCACCGGTGTGGCCCCGATGGCTTCCCGCGCATTCGGCCCGGAGGGTGACGTAAGCGCGCGGGTGGAGGTGACGTGCTGTGCCATCACGGAAGGCTGGAAATCGACGCTCCCGTTCGCCTGGCTCTCCCGTCGATTCACCTTCACGCCTTGCAAGATGTGTGGGCTCCACTATTGTCAATTGATGCTCCCGTTCACCTGCTGCTCCTGTCAATCCATCTCCGCGCCTTGGAGAATCTGCCCACTCAATAGCTGCCAATCGATGCCCCACATGACGCCACGCTGTGCCAGAATGCCCCACACCAGCCAGCCACGTGCTTGGGCCCACGTTCACCCTTCTGCATTGTGCCGTTGTCCGTGGCAGTGCCATGAACACGCCCAGGAGAAAACCAGTTTAGGATACAACCTGCCGCAAACAAGATGAAATGCACTGACTAATGGGAAAATTGACACGCATTTGATAGGTTTACAATTGTTTCAAGCATAGGTCTAGTATCCTATGTTAAGAATGCTGAGAAATGCATGCTTGATTTCGGTACTTATATTGAACATCAATTGCAAAATTAGTTGGGAATTTTCAATTCATATCACTTACCCTGCTGGAAACGATATGAGCATTTTCACTGTGGATCCTCGCACTGCTTCACAAGCTACTATAATTGCTTGAACAAGTTACAATGAGGTCATTTGTTTATGGTAAGAAAATAATTGGTAATTGGTACATTCAGCGTTTGTGGCATCGCTTTTGACCCATGAACCATGCTTGAAAATTTTCATGAGTCTTTGACCCCGCCCCCAAAAGGCTTTCCTTATCTGGGAAGGCAACACATGCATGAACGAGTCCTGGAAGCCCAGGAGCCCCACCAGACCAGGGGCATATCCATGGATGTTGCAGTGACGAAATGGAAGAGCAATCACTACATAGGTTGCAACTCAACGATAGGGTCAATTATCGACTGTTGATTAGATCGACAAACACTACAATGGATGGTCAAAAAACATTGCCGTGTGTGTTTGTTGCCATGCGCAATCGTTCAGGGCACTATCTTTTTGCAATTCTGGATTTTCCAACATCACTACGCTCTTACTATTGCTCTGTACAAAGGGCACGGCATAACATAACGATATGAAAGTGTTTGACACATGCTAACACACCCACCGAGCCCAACCCTTGGAAGTATTTGAAGGACCATCTTTTTCTTCGCTGTCAAAGTGAGTCCATTTTCAACTCACTGCAGTGAGTCAAATCATTTTAAAACTTCAAATTTCGCATAGCTCATTTTTGGCACTGGAATTCCATATTACGTTACTGCACTTACAGACAATATCTACCCTGGCGACTTGATGTTACGACCCAGACACAGTTCCATCATGAAGGAACACAGCGAGACCCGTTCACAATATGAACTCAACGTGCAATGAAACTTAGAGTAAACAATTCCTTCATCATTTGGCCCGGAAGGTTGCCTCAGTTAAAAAATACACATTGCTCGCACAACCATGCTCGCTCGAGCATGCATGTGCAGACATGTTGTCTGCAGCATGCGGACCAGAATGGGAGTTGTTTCTTCTACGACTGTTGGCAACACCAGAATCGCTCAATGTGCTGGCAACGTGCCAGGCTCCCGACTGCTGACCCACCGATCCCTAAACCACTAGGGCGCTCCCGCCCATGGGGTTGCGCGAAGGCGGCCAGGGCACCCCAAGCAAACTAACGCCCTTCACGGTAAGATGGCATCGATCGGCCCGTGTGGTCGATGGACACCATCAGATCTCAACAGTCAAATCCCTGACATCGTTCCCCCAAACACACACACACCACCAGCTCAGCCCCTAGTAGCCCGCACATAGGCGCTTAGCCCTACCTGTTGGGTTGCTAGACAACTGCCCCAAGGAAGATCGCACCGATCGTCTCTGTGCGCACCCAAGAGATGCTTGGGTACCCGCAGCGAAGATCGGTGTGAGACACAATTTCGATTTTCGTTCAACTCACCCATCCCACCCAGCGAGCCAGCCACACGATCGCCGGTGCCCCCAAGCCCCAACCTCCCCCGTTCTAGGCAAGGCGTTTTGCAGGCCTCCCAACCCCCCTATCCACACCACCTTGTCCCAAGTACGGCCCCATGGGGTTGACGGATCTCCACCAAAGGTGGAGACGATTAGGATCGCAAACAGCGGAGGCTGCCGATGGTGTCGATCGCCTGTGCCGGCTGCTCACCCAAGTGCCGCCTGGTTCGCGCTGCTTGGTGTGCCTCGCCTCTTTGCAAGTATGTGGTCATGGGTACTCAAGCACCTGTCGCTGTGCTCCTGTGTACGCATTGTGAATCTGTACAGTGCAATGGCGCTTGTCCGATGGAAAGTACGTTTTTGGAATTATTGTTGTGGAAACACATGGGGGTCGAGAGGATTATGGCCATTAGTCTTGATTGGTTAGTCATCTGTGGGATTAGACCCACTATTTGGATTCTTTGTGATCTCTAGATACTCGTAGGCTCTTTACTTGTTTAAATCCCCAGGTATGGAGTACTTTGTGGCTTAGGGAAATCCCTGTACTTAAGGGACAGACCGTGGGGGTAGACTGAGTTGCGATGTATCGATAGTGGGTCCGATATGGGGGTATGCCGGGCGATACAGTCGTGACATGCTGATGTACATTGTGTGGTGTCTGTGTGACGGGTGGTCAGGCCAGAATGTGGCCGACCACCAATACGTACGTGGGGGTGCATTGCTCCCCGCTGTGACGTGGCTGCTTGGGGTAAGGCAGTTATTGACGTTTTATGGAGTGAGAATTACGTAATATGGGATTCGACCTTTTGTGGGTGTTATTTAGAGCTTCTTGGTTCCAACGAGCTTTTAAACGCCCAAATCCGTTAAGAATTGACGAAGATATGGCCTCCTGAAGTCGTAGTACTTGGGGCCAGGGGGTCGGGTGTTAGATGCTTGGAATTAGAGGATATTAGGTCGATCGTAGGTGAACGGTGGACGGTGACTTGGTGCCTGGACGCGCACATTGACTTGTCTTGTCTTGATGTGACCGCGATGGACCCGCGATCGGGCATCGCGCATACGATATGTGCGCGCGCATGCTGTGAATCCGTGTAACATCTTTGGCCCACTTTCTGGTCTCCCGCGAGCCAGCGAACCACCACCGCGCTGCGCCGCCACCTCTCGCCGATAGCAGGCCCCGGGGATCGATCCCCGTCGAGCATTGGGCCCACCGCGCGACTCTACAATCGACTGCCCCGATTACGCCCACCGTCCAAGGTGGAGAGGCCAGCCAACCTCCAATGGCTGTGCTGCAGGGCAGGGCGACCCCCACGACTCCGGAAACCAGCGGCTGCCGACGGGGCCGCAACACCCACTCTGTTACCCGTTTTGGCTCACTGCCTCGCTCCGCACGGGCCTCACGGCCTGGGGAGCAAAATGCCTCGCAACCTGCCGTCTTCGAATGGCAGGACTGCCCGATCCCAGAGCGCAAGAGGGCCGGCCGCGCAACGAACGGGCGAGCACCCCGATTACGCCCGCCAGATTCGGCGGAGGGGCCATCGGCCCAACCGGGTGTAGGCAGATGAAGTGGGACGCGCACTACAAAGGGGACCAGCGGAAGCCATCGAAAAGGGCCCCGCAACAATTATGGTGTGGAATTCAACAAGACGAACGTTTGGTGAATTCATTTGATAACTAGCAATTATTTTCACCCTCCTCCCAGTACAAAAAGGTGTGCCTCATAGACCTGTGTGTGGAGTTCAACAGAGGTTATGACAAATATGAGATGTTTGCCTCAAGCACTCCTTCAACAATAGCACAAGCGAAATGAATTGCACCAAGGAAGAGATGGTGTGCCTTGTGCACACTACCCAGTGCCTCACCCACCAATGCTATGAGTACGACCTGGTCTTTGCAAAGACCGTGAAGGATTACGTGAAGTTCGATTACGAGAATGAGAAAGAAGAGTGTCTGCGCAATAAAATGGTGTGCAAGAAGGCCGAGAAAGTGTACCAAGAATGGACGAATTCTGCAACAAAGCGAAGGAGCAGCTACTAGCGGATAGAGCGGCTCTATGGCTCTATCATGGCTGCCATGACCACCTGTTGCTCTCTCGATCCCATGAAGGCAATTTGCCCGCACGTTTACACTTGTTTGGTGGACAGCCTTTGAATGCCTAAAATGTGTGTGTGCGAGGATCGGACAGAGTGGCGATGCACTACGAGAGTAACGCACCATGGATATCTGCTACGAGTGGCATGTGCACAAATCGTGAGTCGTTGCTATTGATATGAGGTTGTAATTTGGTGACAATAGTGCTGTGTGGAAAGAGAAGGTTGGAAATTTCATTAAACATGCAACATGCACACACCACTGGCAGGTAGCAACTCACAACCATGCGGAACATGAATGAGGGCCACGTTGGCTTCAGTGCATGGCATTAAGATTCTCTTCTCTTTTGACACAACACGATTCTTGCCAATGTTGATGGTAACCACTCCAACATTAGTCACGTGCCTCTAGCCGGGAGCCCAGTTCTGCCTGTTGTTCCAAAATCATGGCCAGTGCAATGTGCACTCATATATCGACTTCGGCGATGGAAATCACTTCTTGTGGCAGCCTTACTATGAGATACAAAAAAGCATTGAAATCAAAACTGGCCCCTTGGGGAAGTTTCCAATCGATTCTAAATCGATCGCAAGCTGATGGAAATTGACTTATGCAATATATTCAAGACAATGATGCTATTTCACCAATCACCTAAGTGTTAAGGATGCAAAAAATTAGTCAGTGGGAAGCTGCTGCTTGTTGTGTGAAACGTGGTGGCGCTCTGCTATACTAAAATACTATTGTCAATATATCTGCCTACAAGACAACTCTGGCAGCCACTCCAGACATCCATGACAATACAGTTGTACTCAAATACGGGTTTGCTAGAAATTGTGCGTTAATATTATAAACTCATGTCTGGGATGCCGTAGCATATTCAACCATTCTGCGCCTTGATTTTCAGCGCCTTTGCTCCGCAATCAATTGACAGACTATATTAATTTTGGTGCACTCTGCATCATGTCCAATGTGTACACAGCGTGTACACAGGGTGCATATGTGCAGGCAAAGCAACCTGGCGACCACGTTTGGCATGATGCTGGCCAGACCATCAACACCTGCTATGCGTGTGGCGTGAGCCGCAATGAGGTGGGTGGGTAGGGCGGTCGGGAGGGTATGAAGTGTAGGAAGGGCCTGAGAGTGCTTTGGTGAGGGCAAGACACAACCCATTTCCACACCTCCGAAGGGCTAAGCCGTAGCGGGTGTGCACGGATGCAAACCAATTCAGGCCATATTTGGTGAACACCTTGATAGTGGGAATTCGACATACGGGGAAAGGGCAGCTATGACAGCAAGGCCGATTGGACCGCAGATGCGCATCCAAGTGAGGCCTTCGGCAGTGCCACAGATCTTGCCATGAATGGCTGCGCGGTTGCGGAAGGAAACAACGCCCATAGGGGCGGTGGTGCTTGCAAATGCAAACAGCCTGCAAGTTCATTGGCTTTACTCGTAACGTGACTTGCATATGTTGCGCACATTACTTTACAAGCATGTCATGCAAGCAAAGCAAGCCACGTTGCTTTGCAACAACTTCGTCTAGGAATCGGGCCGTGCTTAATGCCAGCCCAAGGTGTTATGTTTTGTCGGCTTTGCATGTTTTCAATCGCCAGTACGCTCTTAACATTGCTCAACATTAAAAGAACCAGCGTTACATTGTGATGTTGCAGGCTTCCATATACCATGGTATGGTCATATCCCAGGATATGGCCACCATACATCAAGTTTACCCGGGTGACCGTATGTGCCAGGCTGTACCTGGGTACGCACCGGTACCCAGTTATTTGGGTACACACCGGTGCCCATTTATCTGTGTATGCACCGGCACCCATTTACCTGGGTACAGGGGTAGGCGGTATAAAAATAAGGTTTTCTTGTACACGGAAAGTTACCCTGATGCCAGGTATCCAGGTCGCATCAGTAAGGGAAGACTTCATGCCGATTCTGATGGTAATCTTAGAGAGGATCCCACCCCCACCCCACCCCTAGCATCAAATTGATGCTGGGCGTACCAAATCCGACATAGAGGCTTCCCAAATCCCCACAAGTGGACATTGCAGAGTTCGTTGTATGCAAATAATATCCCTTTCTGGTTTGACTCTCGAGTGGGATACACAAACCAGGCCCTGGAGTGAGATCATCTCTCATGGTGTACCTGAGGCGAGTCGATCACCCCAGATGCAGAACGCGAACCGCAGAATGCCGGTAGTCTCCGGAGAATCGAATAGTGCACTGGAAACTGACTACTGAAAAGGGTGCAAGTCATGAACGGGACCTCGCCCTGATTGGATGCAACAGTGCGCACTGCGTGGTGGGGACTTGGCTGCGGGGCATGAGGCCGGCAGGCTGGAAGGCGGTGAGGGAGACGACGGCGGTGGCGTGGCCTGGGTGGAGGGGGCGCGGCGCAGAGGGATGGCGCCACGTCGAGCGGGGCCGCGCGGGTGAGTCGTCATTCGAACTCTCAACGTTGATTGCGTCGCTGATAGCGTTTGTCGAAAAGCAGCCCAGCGCGCCGTTGCACCTCGCACGTGGCACGATTCGAAGCGCAAGGTGGTCAAAGAATGGCAGCTAGCTGTCGCGCGCCGTTGCTGCTTGCAGCCAGTATCCACGAAGCGATGATTCTTGGCGCACAAACTGGTCATTTGCAAAACACAGTGCACATCGTAGGCGCAGTGGTGTTGATGAAAACAAAACATGTCATAAGATGGGACGGATGCAGGGGCTGTAATGCTAGAAGAGACTGTGTCTCCCTTCTCTTCTACTGGCTTCGTGCAACGCCTTTGACCCAGGATGGGACTAGCATTTTGTCACATTTGAACCAAGAGCGCGAATTTAACACTTACAGATGCGGCCATTGAATGTATCCTTACACGCACCACGAAAAGCGAAGCATTGCCTAATGAAAGTGTCTTTGCTGAACCAGATGAGTTCTGCAGTTTGTTTTTCCAGAGTACATGGAATTTCACTGCAAATCAGCATGCTGTCTCTGTCTAAAGGTGGCAAACAAAGAATATGCTCACAACATCGATACAATCCCCTTCATGTGGCCATCATTGCCCACCCATTTGAAAACAAAGGGAATGAGGGGCAAATACTGTGAGTTGTGCGGCCAGGGTTGTTCAATCCATCGTCCATTTGTTTTGTTTCAGTATTTTCTGCATGGACAAACTGGCCAAGCAGCCATTATTTTAGGATCATCTTTACATGCGTGAACTCAGTCGTGCATGATACGGCTGTGATAAGACCAACACACATGTATGTTGCCCCTACTCAACAAAGATTGCAATGGATAACTGCAGGTGGAATCCAGGCTGGCCTGGCGTTGGGTCTGGGTGTCTAAGCGTTCGATCAGCTGGGATTTGTGCTGGCATCAGTAGGTGATAACCAGAGCAATACATAGAAAATATGGGACAAGGGCCAGTAGTGAAATACAGGAATACAATCCACAGGTATTGGGGCTGGGGTACTCTTTTGAACAACTGCTAGAGAAAGGGGTTTCTCGAACCTTTACCACTGCACATTATGATGCACATGAAATATGTATGGATTTGCTGCTGAAGCCCTGCAGTTTTTTCCCAAAGAAATCTCACACTGCTCATAGGATCCCAGCACCAGGAACGTGCAATGGAATGATGTGCACTGGCGCGATTGATAAGATCTACCCTGACCATAGTTGCTGCAACGTGATGTCATCTCACTTTGCCCAAGTGTATTATTCTACATGGTGTAGATGCTGTGCTAGTCTGCATGAATCGCTTCCCAGAAATGCTGCCATCCTTCCTGACTTTTGATGCCTCGCAATGAAACAGAAAATGACAATGCAACTGTTCACTGGTCTTGGCACTGTTCTTGCCAACTCGCTATTGTCAAAATCCCAAAGTTATGTTTGCCCGTTTTGGAAACAGCAGAGCTGCTACAAATTGAAAGCGAAGGCAGGCACGCCTTAATACTGTGGTGCACGAGCTGGCACAGTTTCAGTGCTTTCGATTTGTTTGGATGCTTGCCTATTTACACAGGCTTAGGACACCCTGTGTCTCTGTTGTCATGGAATCCTCTGGTGTTGTTATTCCCTTTCTTGATCTCTTTGGCTGTGTCTGTTGTTTTCTCTGTCTTCCAGGCTCATGCATTCCTGCTCAGCACACTGATGGTGTCCATAGTGTTGACCCCAAGGTAGGATATCAGTGTCATGCCACACTACAAGAATTCTGTAAAACACATGTCTGAATAGGCACAACCATTTTAGGGCTATTCACCTTTGCTCATATCACTTGCCGTTTGGCCAGCTTGAACATGTGGAGTTTGGATATTTCAAATGATGGCTAACTGTTTCATTGTGTAAGTGCTTGTCAACATTGCACAGTCATTTCAATGAATGCAGGCGGTTCTTGTTAGAAGGTTGTTATATTAGAAATGTGGATACATGTGAATGCATGCGGATTTGAAAACAGATCACGCACAGTAAATTTGTGGTCCAAATCTGGTTTGCATTTGGAGATGTTTGTACTTGGACAGAAGTCCTGAGCGGAAAGTAGTACCTACCAGCAATGATGTATGGTAGATCCCAACATGGTGCCATTTGGCAGGAGCAGATCTCTGCAGTATGGGCTTGTGCAGATGTTCGTTGTGGAGTAATATCTAAGATAATGGCAACAGGCAGCCCAACACACTGATCAATGGCAACCAACTGTTGTTTCCTATCCCCAATGGCCCAAGGGTGTCTGTCCAGGGATGCATCCCTGCCATTGTTGTGATGTGGAAATAATCCAATTGAGATTGCCAATGGAGTTCTGAAAGAGCGGTCACACAAAGGTATATGGGTTCTGTTGAGCTGAGGCTGTCATCTCAGGCTGGCCGAAGGCGAGTTCGTCTTGATGAATTGTGCTTCGCAAAGTTTCCGGAGCATTCCGAGAGGGCCGTGAGGTCATGGATCGCTCAGGGGAAGGTGGTGGTGGATGGCACACCAGTGGACAAAGCAGGGCAGCAGGTGCTCAGGAGTTCAAAAGGTAGTTATTGACTGAGTGCTGTCCAGGGCACGTCCATGTCTGGTACATGCCTGTTGTGTGTCACAGCATTCCATGAACACTTGAACAAGTGGAACACTGTTGAGCCACTGCCGCATTTGGCAGCTCAGTATCTGCTTTTCCTTGCAGCACGATGTGGGGTGGCAGTAATTCCAGCAGACGCTATGTGGCGTGTGCCGAGTCCCAACTGCTTATTGCATCAGAGGTGGCCAACGCTGTCAGTCCAAGCCGAAGCATTGGAAAATGTTGTGAATGCCAGCCGCTAAGTGCATTGCATGCTGTCAGTGCCTGTGGCCGGGCATCTGGCAACAGATAATTGCCAGTGCAATGAAAGTTCTTGGTGCTTGTGGAAGGATTGTTTGCTGAGGTGAACAACTACAAGGGCAGGAATGACCGTGCACATGTTCTTTTTGCTACCAGTCGAATTGAAAGCCATTGAGAAGAAGTACGTCTCACGAGGTGGCTTGAAGCTTGAAGCTGCCCTCCAACGGTTTAACATCAAAGTGGCTGGTCAGGTTGCAATGGATGCTGGCATATCAACGGGTGGCTTCACAGATTGCTTGCTGCAACAAGGAGCTTCGAAGGTGACCTTAAGAACTGTTATGGATGCTCAGATGTTTTCTTCAAGGAGCACAAGCAGGTTGCACTTTAATGATGGGAGGCTTGACTGCAGCAACCCTTAATTGAGTGTGTGACTGGCTGTCCAACTGACCACCAAAATAAGTACATTGCCATGATTGCCTAGAATTTCTTGCATAGATTCCCATTCATAGACTTTTACGTTGACTAGAAGTAGTGTTCAATAAATTTAATTTGCTAACGATGTTGTTGACCTGTCATGTTGCACGTTTCAACTGTGGTGCACAACCTATAGCTACCTGGGCTGAACTCGTTGTTCCCTGAAATTGCCACTATCAGTTTCTTTTAGGGTATGAAATTTTTGCGTGTGGATCTATTTGGAGATCCAGCACAGGCTGGAGACAAAGCAGTTTCTGGTGTGGATACACTTGTTTGAAGTGATCAACAACTTCAGCCGCAACGCCAATCACCAGAATCCACAAGTCTCATGTGGCCGAGCTGTGGTGCACAGGATAAGAAACATATTGGGAGCACGCAGCAAATGTGAACAGTTGCCGACAGCCCCCAGCTGTTATACAACCGCTGGTGTTTCATGCTCCAATGCTTGTGATGAATGCAGGTCAAAGAGGTCCAGTTGGCACAATGATACACGTGGCTTTGGTAATGTGTTCTGTAGGTGTATGGCATTGATGTGGGCTATGGGGACGTTGCCTACAAGTTGCGGCAGGATCCAAGGGTCGTGCTGCTCGAGCGGACGAATTTGCTGCACCTTGACACAGACTTGATCGACCCGCCTGCCAGCTTGGTGACTCTAGATTTGTCGTTCATCTCTGTTCTGAAGGTGGGGTTTGTTGCTGCTGCTGCTGCTGCTGCTGTCGTCCTTTGTGTGTTGTTGTCACAAAATGTTGCTTCACAGCAATGAGTCCAGATGCTGCTTCCATCATGACAGAAGTTATGCAAGCATTGTGCTGCCTTGATAGAATGTGCAGGGCGATTTGCTGCCTGAAATTGTGTCCATGAAAATGTACACAATCTCAAAGAAGAGAAGTTTGACCTCAGGCAAATCACAGTGCTTTGTCTAGTATAGCGACGCATGTTAAGACTTGTTGTTGCTGTTGGGATTGAAGTATTTACTTTGAACGATGTTACTACATCACCATCAAGCACCAACAGGGCCCCAAGCATGTCCTCACAAGCTCGAAGCCAATCCTCACAACACTGCCAATGTTGTGTGCTGAAGGCAGGTGGCCCCTGTAGTGGTGCATTCCAGTATCACTAGCATTAAATGCTTGGCAAAATGTTGAGCCAGGGTTACGCAGTTTCGTGTAGCTGAGGATTGTACATCAGAGCTCCGGTATTGTCTGAGCATGGTGCATCAAACAGATTATCTGCATAACATGTGCTGTGGATCTTGTGCAGGATGCCAATGGAACATTCTTGCGGAGTCCTATATGCTGTGTTTGTGCAGCAAATATGTGTTAGAACAGGACCAAGTGTGTGATCTGGAGTGTCATTTCTGGCCCATTTATACCATGACACTATGTGAAGATCCAAGTTTGTGACTGCATCCATTCCAGACTCGCACAAAACGGAAGGTAGATAGAGACGTAGAAAGAGGCATAAAAGGTCTGGCATGGCAGTGGCCTAAATGTCCCCAATTTTCAAACGGTGGGCTCCGATCTATGCATATGATGCGCCTACAGTGGAGAAACGGAGTATACTTATCTTGCAACAGTACGAGTTTGGCATGTGCTTTCCAGCCAACGACATAGTCGCCACATCATGACATCACAAAACATTCCGTTATGCATAATTGCTTACCCTGTGTACGCCATGATGCGTAAATATTGCATGTCATTGAGTGCTTTCTTATTGCATGCCCCCTGTCAGGTGATCCCTGTAGTGCAGGAATGCATGGAGGTGAACGGCGACCTTGTGGTCTTGATCAAGCCGCAGTTCGAGGCTGGCAGGGAGCACGTGGGCAAAGGGGGGCTGGTCCAAGACCAACGAGTGCATGAAGAAGTCGTCGAAAAAATCGCCTCAGGTCTGGCTAGAACCTCCCACCTTTGGGAACTGGGAAGCTGTGCCGTTACTCGTGCTCCCGAAATGCTCAAGAAATGGCACACGCGCCAAGCGGTCTCTCGCATCGTTTTCCAGCTGTACATGGCACCGGAAACACGCCAGATATCGCACGAATCATTGCCGTCGCGATCTAGTTCTTTGCTATCACACGAGGTTCGGCAATTTGTTGTTATTGAACCACGAATGAAACCACAGAGAATGTAGGCATGTCTGTGCTTCTTCGCGATGAGCGCTTTTGGCAAGCAGCATGTCACCCCAAACAGCCCCAGCACATGTGCCTGAGGTCGTTCTGAGTGGTGATTGCCGTGGCGGTGCACAGGCATTGCAAGCATGGGCTTCGACTGCTGCGGGAGCATGGATTCACCGATATTGGTAGGCACTCTGTCGATGTTCTTTTGGTGGTATGTGTCACAACACGGCACTGCAGCGCCACTGCACCTGCTGATGTTGCAAATTGTAATGAAGATAGAGTAAACACATGACAACAGGCCTTGGTTCAGTTGACTGTAGGTACACCGAAAATATTTGCATGTCCTGGACACACATGTCCAGTATATGGCCGTCACCTGAATATCGGCGTCATACCCTGTGTTAGAGCGTCCATGTCCAGGATATGGGGCCCATATCCTATTCGATACCCAGGGTTGTGGGGCTTCTTACCCACGTGCTTCCTGCGTGGAAAATGGCCGAATTTACGTTCAGCATTTGCAATTGTCACGTGTGATTTAAGTTGTGAACGTTGCTGGAAAGTTGTGAACAACCGCTTTCGAAATCCAGCGGCTTTTGGGAATTATGGCCTGGCCTGACCCTGTTGCGACGGTGCACAGCCAGTCCGCGATTCTTTGAATAATATCAGCATACATAGGCAGTTTTGAAACGATTGGCAAAGCCCTAATACCAATCCAGTGAATTTACTGGATCTAGTGATCTTTCACGCCAGTGTGCTATGGGCTGACGACTGCTTTGATTGTGGCTGTAAGGGAGCCGGCTCCAAAAACAAGGAATTCCTCGCTCACTTCCGGCTGGTGCGGCCTCCGCCTTCGTCGTGATGGATGGCGTGCATCGAATTGCTGTACCATTTGCACATCGTTCATGGAATGACATGATCCATGACGTCCCTGATGGAATGCCTGTTGAACTGTGTAGAATCCCCTCATTGGATGACTGTGGAGGATATAACAATCTTTCACTGCATATCTACCTAACCGTGGAGACGTTGAAATAGGTTCAAGCGCTGCCTGGTGCATGCTTCAAGCTCATGCTTCGCCCACTTTGGGGCTGGGTACCAATGCTTTGCGTTCTGAGACAGGTGGTTTGTGGAAAATTTCTGTGCCTCACTTTCAAAGCCTGGCTACCCATGCTTCAATATAACTTGGTTGTAGGCAGTTAGTTTGTGAAAATTGCCAGCACCCTAATTTTCATTATCAGGTGCTTTCGATACTGTGGAAGTTCGTGCCAACGGGATGTTCCAGTTGAGGGTGCCTTGGCTCGCCTTACATACAAAGGTGCACATGTGGCCCGTCAGCAGCCGCTGGTTTCCAGAGCATTTATGGGGTCGCCACACCCTGCAGCACGGCCCCTGACGTGGGTTGGCCTCTCCACCCAATTGTGTGGGCAATCTCGGGGTGCTCGCCTTCTCGGTCGAGTGGTGGGCCCAATGCTCGACGGGGATCGTCCCCGGGAGCTTGTTGTATACGGCAGGTGGTGGTGCAGCCATGCGGTGGCTTGTTGGTTCGCAGGAAGACCAACAATGGGCCAGAACGATTACAAGGGTGACCTGCATGCACTTGTTTCAAGACCTGTATGCGTGCGAGGCCCGATTGTGGGTCCCTCATGGCCACATCAAAACAGGATAACATACAAAAGTAGATAATGTATTGTAATATATTATGAGCACATGTCCCCGGCCACCATTCACTTAAATCAATCCCTCATTCATCCCCAATGCTTTGACCTACAGGTCCAGATCCCATGTTAAAGTGCTAAAATTTCAAATGGCCATAACTCAACCATTTCTACACGGAATCGGACGTTGCAAAAAGCTACTAGCATCAAGAGCTTTTAAATAATCTGATTTTAGGGTATTTGCACTTTTGGACTAAGTCTAGCTTCAGAAATATTATTTTTAGCCTACCCGCAAGTAAAATCACCATATTTCCTTTTGATAGGGCACATGAGTCCTAGGTCCAAATGGATGATTCCACTTCACACAAGCATCAAAATAGAACTCAAATTGCTCAACAACTCATTACAATGCCAGCCACCGAAACAACACTTGAATCTAATGTATTCACAAGCTGCTAACCTTCACCCATCTTGTTATGGAAATACATGGGGGCGAGTGTAATTGACCAGTTTGTCTTCAATTTAGCTCATTAGTATAATCGACCTTTTAATTTATTTAAAAGCTCTAGATACTCCTAGCCTCTTGAGACGTCCAAATCCATTAAGATTTGAGGGAGATATGGCCTCCCAAACTTTCAGTACTTAAGGGACTAGATGCGGGTAGGACGGGTTACGGTTGTATCGGATAATAAAGTGGGTTATGGGGTGCGCTGGATGCCGCGATTGAGACGATTTATTCTTAACTGCGACTGGTCTGATTCATATAGTACATTTCAGCGGAGTTTATCGGCTTGCTTTCCAGAGTTGCCCACCACATTACGTGCGCCATTTCCTCGACCGTGTGATATTATCCGGTCAGAGTCGTGCCAGTACCCCGGATACGCTTGGCACTTTCCCGCAAGGCGGAGGTGTCCGCACCGAGCATGCATGGACCACCGGGCGATCGAGGGATCCGGGGGCGCCGACAAAACCATGGCGCATGGGCCCACGCGCCACATCCCTCATGGCCGTGCCCAGAAACGCGTGCATATGTTTATCTTACTTCCCTATTACCCAAACACTTCACAAACTCACCTTGGCCGTGTATTGTGAATTCTTGATGTTGCATGTTATGGTGCATTTGCAAGGTCCACAATAGGTTGTTGGGGCATGGATCTTTATGTCGGAGTGGGTTAGGTATACTTTCTCTTGGGTCCTTAGAGACATTGAGGCATTCTAGATTATTAAGGTGTTTGGTAGTGTATATTGCCTCCAGGGTATTCTTGGTGTACCCTAGTTTATTAAAATTTGCATTCATGTTTTTTCTTGAAGATTAAATGAGCCTACCGAGCTAAGGGAACAATTAAACAATCTGGTGTTGATATAGCAATTGTATTGTCTATATGTAATTGTCTTCTTGAGTCAATCCACATCTCTCACCCGCCGCGCAGATTTGTGGGTGTGTGCCTTGCAATTCCACCCGCTTGGTTACAATGGCATGGGGTGGTACAACACCGTGCTGTACTAGGCAACGACTCAGAACATGGCAATAAGAGCCCACACAATAAAAGACCTCCCCTCTTACAGCTAAACCAATGTTTTCATTACCAAACAATGAAACTCCCTTACCTCACATAGAATATTTTAAAGTCACGTCACTCTAGAAACATATTCTCATTCACTTGCATTATAACATTACAACATTGCACCACACAACGGTATATATTCCTACAACCAATACTTGACACTACAATTTGCATATCACTAGTATTGATTACAATACAATTTATCCCATTGTCTTTGTCCTTTACACAAGTCCAACACACCCAATGCCCTCACAACATATCTTCAAGAGGCTTGCACTCCCCCACACAATGTCCTCTTTTGGTCCCACTCATCATATTTTGTATTTTATAACAACCAACACTAACCCATTGACTTTCTCATCTCAACATGCAACATTACGTTTTCAGGACTCGCCAAACCTTCAAAATTGCTTATGCAACTTCTATGTATGTAAGAACATTACAACACTCACAAGAAACCAGAAAAGACTATTAAAAAATAAAGATGTACACATTCAATCAATGTCGTATATTCAATGTATTACATTCTCTTACAATCAGCCCCCTTTTTCACTCATCACTACTGTGCTCTCTCAGAAATTTTAAATTGTCTAGTGCATCATGTTCCCTAAAGCAAAGCAGCCAGCATTTATTAAATAAACCCCCCTTTTGCCCTTATTGTAGTGTACACTCCCTCTACAAATCTAGCCACCGATCGCCTAAAATGTTCCAGTATAATCAGATTACGGGGCCCCCTTCCTATCCTCAAGTCCCAGTACATGTGGGCATCTGGCCCACTCTTGTCAAACAAGCCTTCCTATTTGGCGCTCCAAACTACATGCAGGCTGCTCGTGAGCTTTGTGAGACTCGCCTCCAGCCTCCCGAGCACTGGTGTGGCTATAACCAATCCACAGAGAAACTTTGAGGCTATTTGCCGTGCTTCCATTCATGAGTCGGACGGAACCCACCCCACCACCGCATCCACTGAGGTGCCATCCATTCCCGTCTTACCCACCAGCTGCCCAACCGCCCTTTTGCTTGGTTTGCCACCTAGGCCAGCCTCTTCCCCATCATTTTGCTAGCTCGGCCCATCGTTAGGGCCCTCCATCCTACCAGCACCCCCAAATGCCTCACACACTGACCACGCTTGGGTCGTGGGGTCACACATCCTGACCCCACTCCTGTCTAAAGCACCAAAAGCAGCTTGAGGACAGCGTCCAACTTGTCCTCCAAAGCTGCAATTCCTCGCTCTATTTTAGAGAGCCTAACCTTCAGTTCGGCATAACCGAATGTGGCATCCGGGGTCTCAACCAACGTGAAATCCTCATCCTCCCCGGCATGATTGACTCTCATTCTAACCCACAGCCCTTCACCCTCTATCGCCCTTGCTGCTGCCATTGGTTGCCCATGCACATGCCTCATTGAACCACCTTATGGAGCAAGGAGACCTGGAGGGTCATGGGACATGGGAGGTGATGTTGAGCCAAGGTGTGGGCAGAGCGTCCCAATGGGCCAATGCACTATTGTGTTATCAGATATCCAGCTCTTCGTCATATCCATTTCATTGTGTTGACCTATCCCTTCATGTTTGAGACATGAGTACAGTGTAAGGAAAGATACTCTTTCTTTGCATTGTTCTTTATACTATTTCATGCACAAATGTCCCATTGCTTTGCACACTAGAGTAGCGTTTCTAATCATTTCATCTGCTTAGCAAAATGTGGTGGCTTTTCTCCCTCATTTTTTTCATTCCATCGGCCACAAAATCCTCCATCAAATGGGTGAAAAGAAAATAATTAAATATATGCATTTAACCAAGCCTTTTGTAGCCCATTCAGACCTGATCCTACCAGTGAAATCACGCTGCCTTCAGGGGCCATTCCGCATTTCATTATGTATTAAAATCTATTGTTGCAACCGAGAAAAGTGAGCGGAGCTTTCTAGAACAAATTCGCAATTTTGGTTGACCGCCGGCTGCCGACAGCCCGCTGCGCACACACCGCCCCCTCCCCGGGCTTCTTGGCACCATGCAGTGCATGGTGCCACCATGAGGCATGGGGGCCAACCACCCACTCACACCCCTCCCCGGACTTCCTTCTGCCTCATGCAGCGCACGGAATGGGCGCCAACCGCCCACTCATGCCCCTCCCTAGACTTCCTTGCGCCTCACATAGTGCGTGTGTAGTGCAGCGGGAGGCATGGGTGCTGATTGTGTACTCACGCCCATCCCCCATCCCGGGGCTTCTTGCACTGGCATGTAGAGCACGGGCGTGGCATGGCATGGGTGCCAACCAGCCTCCCACCAGCTTCCCCCGGGTATTCTTCTCCAGTTGGGCTGGGCTTGGGCATGGATAATGGGGGGAACGGGGAGTCTGGGACACCTTTGGTGCCATGCGCAGTGCATGTATGTCCATTTTCTGCATTGCTCGCACGGTCATTTACGGCATTTGCATTACAAGGTATAAGTGGAAAGACTCGGGACAGGTGTTGTGCATATCCTTGACCACGGACTGGGGAGGGGGGGGGAGGTTCAGCAGCCTGTGTGAACCATGAGGTGATTGGGCGAGTGGTTGGCGGTGGTATTGCCATCGCCCATGGCTCTGGCTCGAGTCCCATCCGGGGGTGGGGGATTGGGCTGGGATGTAGGGGTTGGGAGGGAA